AAACTGCGGGGAACTCTGCAAAAAACGCATCTTCGCACGGGCAGCCCGTGCTTTGGCCAATTTTTTAATTTCCATTAAATTTTCTATCCTCCATACAACGAGCCAAACTGCAGCGTAATTGCTTTGATATTCCTCGCAGGCCAGGGGCTGCAGTAATTTGCTGAACTGACAAGTTCCAAAATATCCATAATCCATAATACGTAAAATATGGAGAGGATTTTGACACACCGGCTTATTTCCCAGCTGACTCAGGGTGTTTTCAGTCGCTGTTGAATATGAATGGTATTTTTTAGATTCATAGAGGGATTGGCAGCACGTCGTAGGTTGGCTGCGGAAAGAGCTGCTCCAGCTCCAGTGTATGATGGAATGGGACATAGATTACCGATTGGTGGTGGCCAGCCTATTCCATCTGAGTCTTCAAAAGTGCAGTCGAAGTCGTGTGCTTCATCCAGTGCTACTGCATCGCTTTCACCTGAACTTGTTTCCCTTCCCACCAGTTCTGTTCGTTCAGGTATTTGTTACTGCTGTTGTGAAGCAACACCTGTAAATTATAAGTTAAAATTATAGGATATGTGAAGGCAAATACTACGCCTGAAAACTGAGATAAATGAATTCTGACTGAAAGGTATTCGAACCCTTTTATTCTTTACATTCTGGAAAGCACTCAGAAATAGCCCAGGTGGTAGGAGCATATTTTCAACAGCAGCCGTTGTGCTGACATCTCGATGGTTATCTTTCTCGAAAGGTTCGCCAGAACAAGTTAATAGATCATGTTTGCTTAGCTTTTACCAGTTTAATTAACCACTGAAATAAATGAATCGTAGAAGGATTAGTTTATCCAGTGACAACATGGAGCTTAGAAGTAGCGTTGCTGAGAAAATTCACCGCCCAAAAACTCTCTAATAAAAGCCGTTAGTGATTCCCAAACAATTTTTGAAGATCAGTGCTAATAGTTTGCCCATTTTACAAGATTTTGATTTCAATTTTAACTTCTTTGTTTAGTAATTATTTAAATTTAATGAATTGCATTATCTACAGCAAGTTGCTTTT